CAGTTTAAAAAAAATGTCCAGAATTATGAATCAATTTTCAGTAACTTTAGCTTAAAACGCATTAACAACCATATTCCATAAACCTATAACCTTCATAGGTAATCATTAACCAAAATTCAATAGTTTTATATATAAACTACAATCCACACAGTTTCTACAGTTTTTAAAATTTTACCAAAGAAACTCTTCTAACAACTTGTAACGAACTGGGTTGCGCTTTTGAAGCTATTTTTGTCCCTTCACCGCTCCGCCAGTTCATCAATGGCTAAACGTCTGTATCGGCCCCGGTCATTAGTTCCCCCAGTGCCCCAGGGAAATTTATCCTACCCGCTTCGAACGACGTGACGACACAGGGGACGAGTTTAGGGATTCACCGGCTTCTCTTTCGTGCCGATAAAACGTCGGGTTAGCAAGGAGGGTCAGATTTTTAAGAATGTTGTCATAATTCCTGAATTAAAAGTTGATACATTTATTTATTTTTTTAATAATAGTTTAGCTTTTTTAAAAAAAAAAAACGTTGGTATATTAATAAACAGTTTTGGCGTTGAGGATGAAAATATAGTCATATATTCTGCTATTTATAAGAAAAGGGTATATGGTGGTATAAATAATGACGTTTCTTTACAGAGGAATAAACCATCACAATAATATGTATATATATATATATATATATATATATATATATATATATATATATATATATATATATATATATATATCATAAAGGATTTGTAAATTAACATGACAATCCGACAGAAGATAGAAAGAAAAACAAATTTTCGCTTTATAATACTTTATATCACAGCCGGTAGGGTCTACTTAATTATATTCGGATGCTGCTCCTTTTAAAGTACAAAGTTTTACACATTCTATTTATGAACATTTTCGATATAAAAAATATTGAAATATGTCGTGCTGGAGTTCTGATTTGTAACGGGTAAAATCAATAATCCTGTCTACTTGTTATAGGGAGTGTTAGAACATCGTTTGTGATGTTTGGAGGTTTGTGGTTCTTGTGAGATCAGGACATTGCTGTGATGTTTGTGACGTTTTGAATGTATATCATATTTGTGTGATGTTTTTATTTTTGTGATATTTTGGGTGTATATCATATTTGATGTTTTTATTTTTGTGATATTTTGGGTGTATATCAAAATTTTATGTTTGTTATTTTTGTGATGATTTGGATATATATTTGATGTTTGTTATTGTTGTGATGTTTTGGATGTATATCATATTTGTGATATGTGTGATGTTTGTTATTTTTGTGATGTTTTGAATGTATATCATATTTGTGATATGTGTGATGTTTGTTATTTTTGTGACGTTTTGGATGAATATCATATTTGTGATTTGTGTGATGTTTGTGAAGCTCGTGATGTTATTAGTATCAGAAGATTACTAACTATACTTGTAACATCAGACACTAGTTCTATTTGTTATATCAATACATATTTTTCTTATATACTGCTAGAGCCATCTCATAAACCCCTCAAACAACACAACATACAAAAAAATCTTCAGAAAATCTTAGGAAGTAAAAATCTAAACAGCAGAGTAGTTTGAATCGTTATGAATAATTTGCTGGGGTAAATTCTACTGGTCTATCTGACGACGATGAACTGTTGGCCACGTTTGTCCACGGTACCGTACGTCAATTGATGGTGGATGGTGTAAGTGTATGTTGCTGTGAAATATCTGGTATTCCGGAAGTGTGTGTTATATGGTCTGCCATATTTTGGTATGCAGTATATGGTATTTTTTCTCGTTGTGGTGTCTTTATGTCTGGTAGTATATCTATAAGTCTGTACGTTGTTATGTCCTTATATCTGACAGTAGGCCTATATATGTATGCCATTGTATCCGTATATCTGATAGTATATCCGTATGTCGCTAAAGTTCCTATCACGCTGTGATATAGATAGAAAATTGCCAGCCTATGAGCCACCACTACTGGACACAACCGTCTAAAATTGTATAGGCAGGTCAACTAATAATATTAAAAAGTTCTATTGCAGGCATCCAATAAAGTTTAAATTTGACTAAGAATAGTATTATTATTCCAGCCAAAAGAACATTTTTTTTTTTTAAAAATGCGTACGTGATTAGAAATACGAATTTAAAAATCTGACCCAATATTTTTAAAATCTTAATCAACTGTTAGATGACGTCTCGATTCTCTAGGGATAAAATCTATTTAAAGATAAACTATTGAATATATTTAAAGATAAACTACTGTGCCTGCTTAAAAAAAGCCAATCTCATCAGTTGTTACGAGTTGGATACCGAGGTCTGAAGCAGATAAATGTGCTGGCCAGTGGCTATGTACCCGTCAAATCAATACACTATTTGCCGAACATGTCAGGAAAAAACCGCAAGAACCGTACAGAGCAGTCCCCCACTACCGTGGTCTGTAGAACGTTGAGGCAGGGCCGGCGTTATTGGACCAATTTACTACAGACTGCTCCCAGCCCTGCTCGTTAGGGGCAGGTGGTCGGTGGTCTGTGGGCAGTCTAATGGACGCTGGTCTGTGGGCAGTCTAATGGTGGGTGGTCTGTGGGCAGTCTAATGGTCGGTGGGCAGGCTAATGGTCGGTGGTCTATGGGCAGTCTAATGGTCTGTGGTCTGGTGGTCTGTGGGTTGTCCTGCTGAAACAGTCTTTGTGTTGTATTGTCAGTCAGATAATGGTGTGTTGTTTGTATTGCTGGATGGATCTAGTTTGACAAACTGATCAGTCGGACGAAATGCTACATTAATTTACAGTATTTGGACAAGATTACACAATGACTGGCAGTGATATTTGGAAATAACCTACCGCAATCATTGTTAAAGGGAAATAACCCAACTTCTTTAGCGTTGATAGGCAATAACCCGACAAACAACGCAGCTTAAGGGGAAAAAAAGGGGGGGGGGGGGAGGGGAATAAACTAACAACTTGCAATGTTGTGGGGAAACCCAGCTACTAGCAGTGTTAAGGGGGAATAACCCAATAAATAACAACAGGGTTGAGGGGGAGTAACCGCACAAATAACAACAGCGTTGAGTGAATGGCAAGCCTCTTGTGAAGAGTTTAGGCGAGAAATACGACACGTAATCAGGCAGCAAATGATGACAAGGTTCGATACCGTTTGATCACGTTGTATCAAAGGGTGGGCATAATCATAAGGCTGGAATCGATTATTCTTTAAAATAGAGGACAGTAACTACACCATAATTGAATACTTTGTAAAATTAAGGGGATAATTTTGTATACAAAAGTAAATTATGTTAGAAATATGCGAATCTAACAGCATTAGAGAAAGAAGGGGGGGGGTGTGCTAAAGGAATAACTTCTTATATTTTACTAAAAAGGGGGTAATCGGACGTCACAATTGCTAGCATTAGCTACTACTTGCTACCAATAGCTACAACTGCCTATCCTCATATACCACTGGCTACCAATAGCTACCCTCAGATACCACTGGCTACCAATAGCTACCCTCAGATACCACTGGCTATTACCAGCTACCCTAAGATACCACTGGCTACCAATAGCTACCCTCAGATACCAGTGGCTACCAATAGCTACCCTCAGATACCACTGGCTATTACCAGCTACCCTAAGATACCACTGGCTACCAATAGCTACCCTCAGATACCACTGGCTACCAATAGCTACCCTCAGATACCACTGGCTACCAATAGCTACCCTCAGATACCACTGGCTACCAATAGCTACCCTCAGATACCACTGTCTATTACCAGCTACCCTAAGATACCACTGGCTACCAATAGCTACCCTAAGATACCACTGGCTACCAATAGTTACCCTCAGATACCACTGGCTACCAATAGCTACCCTCAGATACCAGTGGCTACCAATAGCTACCCTCAGATACCACTGGCTACCAATAGTTACCCTAAGGTACCACTGGCTACCAATAGCTACCCTCAGATACCACTGGCTACCAATAGCTACCCTCAGATACCAGTGGCTACCAATAGCTACCCTAAGATACCACTGGCTACCAATAGCTACCCTCAGATACCACTGGCTATTACCAGCTACCCTCAGATACCACTGGCTACCAATAGCTACCCTCAGATACCAGTGGCTACCAATAGCTACCCTCAGATACCACCAGCTACCACCAGCTACCACCAGCTACCACCAGCTACCACCAGCTACCATCAGCTACCACCAGCTTCCATCAGCTACCACCAGCTACCACCAGCTACCACCAGCTACCACCAGCTACCATCAGCTACCACCAGCTACCACCAGCTACCACCAGCTACCACCAGCTACAACCACCAGCTACCATCAGCTACCACCAGCTACCACCAGCTACCACCAGCTACAACCAGCTACAACCACCAGCTACCACCAGCTACCACCAGCTACCAATAGCTACCTTTATCGATCCTTAAGACAGACTCATGCCCGAGGGTCAGACTAGCACTACTGGGTGCCTGGGGCTGGTCCGTGAGTTATCTTTTGACACGGTCACGTGATATTTCTTGATGAAATGTTGCCACCACTTGGCTGGATTACTGCCCCCCCCCCCTTGTATTGGCTACTTAAACTAGTCCTAGGAATCTACTCGCGTGCTTTGTGTTAACACATATTTTGACAACCATCCCATACTAAACTCACACAACCAGATCACCCGGCAACCAGATAACCTGACAACCACATAACAACACAACCCGATAACAAGACAACCCGACAACCCAACAATCCGACAACCCGACAACCCAACAATCCGACAACCAGACAACCCCACTTTGTGACCTAAGAAAAAGCGTGTAAAAAAATGTTTGCGTCTAAGACAATGATCGAAAACAAAACGTTCGCAAAAACTAACGGGTTAAAAATAAATAATAACCTTTGAAACTTACTTTATGTACAAAAATCAATTTCTTGTGAATTTTTTTTTTTAAAGTTATGTTCATTAGTTTAGATATGTTGCTATGGTTACTGTCGTAAATTGATAAATGAATCTTTCATCTTTTTTCAGCAACATGGGTGGGCGGGGCCTACATTAACGGAACAGCGGAAGTGATCATGAGCAGCGGGTTGCTCTTCTGTCAGGCGCCTGTAGGATACGCTCTGAGCTTGGTCTTTGGTCAGTAGATTCTTTACTTCGTTAAACACATCAGTTACAAATCAGCATTAAGTTACAATAATTTATTATCTTAAAGTACAAAAAAAACATTTAAACTTCAAGCAATCATAAAAAATTGGTTTACTGCAGTAAGAGTACGACCTAACTGTTGCCCTTAATAACTAGGATAAAATGTCTGTACATGCCAATAACTCACCTGTCCTTGTATTAGAATAAAATGTCCGTGCACCCCAATAACTTACCTGTGTTTGTGAACAGGTGGTCTGTTCTTCGCCAACCGAATGAGGACAGAGGGTTACGTCACCATGCTTGACCCGTTCCAGATCAAGTTTGGGGAGAGGATGGGAGGCCTGCTGTTTATTCCAGCCCTGTTGGGCGAGGTCTTTTGGACAGGTGCCGTGCTGGCTGCTCTAGGTGAGTGGTGGGGCTTAGAATAAGTGAAACACCCGACTCTGAGTTGTGGTGGTTAGAATACGTTAAACACCTGACGCTAGTAAAGTTTGTGTCTTAAAATAAGTGACGACGGGCCTTTCAAATAAAGACCAAGGAGTAGCAAATGTTCCCCACTTGTTCCACATCACGTTACAAATGTTCCCCACTTGTTCCACAACAAGATACAAATGTTCCCCACTTCTTCCACAACACGTTACAAATGTTCCCTACTTGTTCCACAACACGTTAGAAATCTTCCTGTCTTGTTAAACATCACGTAACAAATGTTCCCCTCTTGTTCCACAACAAGTTACAAATGTTCCCCTCTTGTTCCACAACAAGTTACAAATGTTTCCCACCTGTTCCCCAACACGTTACAAATGTTCCCCTCTTGTTCCACAACAAGTTACAAATGTTCCCCTCTTGTTCCACCAGGTTCCACCCTCTCTGTCATCATGGAACTTGAGCCTAGACCGGCCATCATCATCTCTGCCTGTGTGGCCCTGTTCTACACCCTCATCGGTGGCCTCTACTCGGTGGCCTACACCGACGTGGTTCAACTCTTCTGTATCTTCTTTGGCCTGGTAAGTTTCAAACGATGCACTTAATTTACCAACAACACGCTCTGGGTTAGTGAAATAAGCGTAACTTCTATCATATGTACAGAAATATGACGTACGTTTTAGCGCAATTTCCATTCTGGAGAATTGTGTTTATTAACTCGTCATTTCTGGGAATGGATGGATGAATGAATGAATGAATGTATGGATGAATGTATGGATGAATGTGTGTCCGGGCTTTAAGTCGTATCTCCTCCTCAACGAAGCAATATCGATGACTAGTTCCAAAAGCAATTATGTTAAGCAAGTTACGAGAATGAACATAGGCCATAAAAATTCCGGGTTTCTTTCATGAATTTCCCGGAAAAGCCAAAAAAACTCGAAAAAAGCAGTTTTGGCCCATATCTCGGCAACCAGACCACTTAGCGACTTGAAACATGTACCAATCGATTCCTGCCATAATTTAGAACAATATTGCCGAAGAAAGTTTTCAAAAATATTCTTTCGTTCGGTCACAAACATTTTTTTTTAATTAATTAAAATTTGGACCGAATTAGTAGGCATTTTTTCCAACCACACCACACGCGTCATCACGTTCAATAGCTGCGCCATCACGTTCACTGGCTGCGTCATCACGTTCAGTAGCTAGGCGCGCAATGGTTTTTAGTCATGTTACTCTATTGTAAATAAAACATGTAAAATACTGAAAAAAAAATTAATAAAAAACGTTTTAATAACTAACCAATGGTTTTACTAACCCTGCTCTTGATTTACGCTACGACAGAGCTATTTTTAGATAACATAAGGAAAATGCGCTTATATTGTCACAAGACTTTTTAATTACCTTGTTTGTTTCTATAATATAGAAAGAAGAAATTTAATATTTTTCTGATAACTTCATTGAGTATCTTTTTCTTCTTCTTCTTCATGGTTCTTAATTAATTGTAATGTTGGACGGGATTTTCTCCAAAAAAACTTTTATGATTCTGATTTCAGTCTGTTTTTCTTTTTGGATTTGCTTCCATAACCAAGAACAAACTGCGAGGTTGCAGTTGTTTTATTTTTTAGATTTCTCACCTAGAAGAGTTGCTGTCCCTAGCTGTCGAGCCTCATCTGCCCGGGGAACGAACTCGGGACTTTTCGTTATCAACAATTAGCTTTACCGACTCTCTTCCTCCAGGGTTTTAGTAGACCTCTGTACAACCACATCACCACGTAGATACGTGTGTGGAAACTAAAGTACTTGTCTAGACTGCATAATTTATTGATTAAAGTGTCTAGGTTTTATCGTATGACGAATGTTTGTACCTACTGAACTAGGATACTGCCATTCTCTAACAAATGTCTCCCTCCTAATGCCCTTATCCAGTGGATCAGTGTACCCTTCGCCATGACGCATCCAGCCACCACCAGCATCGCCGTGAACGCCACCCAGAACTGGATCCACCCCATCCCCACCTCCGTCATCCCGTCCTACATCGACAGTTTCCTGTTGCTGACGTTTGGTGGTATCCCCTGGCAGGTTTGTCTCCCCTTGTCTTTCATAGTTTCAACTTTTTTATACGATATCAAAATCACATTTTTACAAGTGTAGTAATGGATTTTATTCTAGGAGGTTTAGGCTTCAGTTTTTATTAATTAAAAAAAGAATCAAATAAATAGTATAGATTTCGATAAAGTGTTGAAAACAATTATCTAATTTACCGTTATTTAGTATGATACATTCACAAACGAAATGTAGCTTTTTAACGTTGTGAGTATTGTAAGGGTGATAAAGTACCCTTTTGAACCTTATGGTCCATGGGGCAGACAGGTGAGGTAGAGTTCACCTGTTTTAGTGACCTCGCATGTGAAGGGATAGTTAGGACACAAGTCTGCCTAGCCGCATTTACTATCTCTGGCGTAAGTCAGGTACCCATTAGAGCTGTGTGGACTCAGGGACGTCAAACTTACTAGTGCCAGTACGTTAGGAGTCAAACGCTTATGAGTACAAAGGCTTACAAGGTATTAAGTCGAAAAATTACAATAAGTCTAAAACTGCCCATGGACCTCATGACGTAATACCCCTCACCCCCTCCTCAGGTGTACTTTCAGCGCGTGTTGTCTGCAAAGACGGCCTTGAAGGCCCAAATCCTGTCCTACATCGCCGCCTTTGGCTGCATCGTCATGGCAACGCCTGCAGCTTTGTTGGGAGCTGTTGCCGCCTCTACTGGTAGGTTGGGCAATTTGTTTAATCTATGCAAGTAGTTGCACAATTTATTTTAGTGGGGCACACTTTCTTGTATTAGCTGGGAAAGTTATTGCACAATTTATTTACACGGGCTAATCATTGCACAGTTAATTTAAACTGGGATAATAAAATGCCCAATTAATTGTAAACTGGGCAAATAATTGCACAGTTTATTAACTTTAGGCAAATAATTTCATAATTTATTTTACATTGGGCAACTGACTGCACGATTTAGTTTTAGTTCTAAAACGGCCAATCGTTTGCATTTTAAAACCAACAACAAGTGGTGACTGCTGTTAGCAACATGGGTGGTTTAATAAAGTAGAAGCTAACATTAAGAAAAGTGTGACTAACTTACAGTGACGTATATCTGGTGTCAAGGTGTGTGTGTGTGTGAGCATGCGTGCGTGTGTGTACATGTGTGTGATTGCGTGTGTCTGTGTGTGTGTGTTTGGGTGTGTCTATGTGAGTGTGTTTGAGTATTTCTGTGTGTGTGCGTGTGTGTGTACCTGTGCGTATGACCCGTTCCCCTATGCTACTTGTCAATGATGTAAAAGGTTGAGCAAAGACCCCCCCCCCATCATGTTTGTTAATCTCATCACGTGACATCACGTGACATCTTTGATCCGACCAATCAAATGTATTGAACCTACCACCCACTTCCCCAGACTGGAACAAAACCGACTGGCCGGGTGAGGTGCCCATCCCAGCTAAAGATCTGCCCCTCATTCTGCCCATGACGCTCCAGTACCTGTGCCCCCCTGCCATCACCTTCCTGGGGCTCGGCGCCCTCTCGGCGGCCGTCATGTCGTCTGCTGACTCGTCCATCCTGTCTGCGGCCTCCATGTTTGCCAGGAACATCTACCGCTCGGTGTTCAGACATGCGGTAAGTATAGGCAACATCTTGTCACATGCTGTAAGTATAGACAACTTCTTGTCACACGCTGTAAGTATAGACAACCTCTTGTCTTTAGACACGCTGTAAGTATAGACAACTTCTTGTCACATGCTGTAAGTATAGACAACTTCTTGTCACACGCTGTAAGTATAGACAACTTCTTGTCACACGCTGTAAGTATAGACAACTTCTTGTCACATGCTGTAAGTATAGACAACTTCTTGTCACACGCTGTAAGTATAGACAACTTCTTGTCACATGCTGTAAGTATAGACAACTTCTTGTCACATGCTGTAAGTATAGACAACTTCTTGTCACACGCTGTAAGTATAGACAACCTCTTGTCTTTAGACACGCTGTAAGTATAGACAACTTCTTGTCACATGCTGTAAGTATAGACAACTTCTTGTCACACGCTGTAAGTATAGGCAACTTCTTGTCACATGCTGTAAGTATAGACACTTCTTGTCACATGCTGTAAGTATAGGCAACTTCTTGTCTTTAGACACGCTGTAAGTATAGACAACTTCTTGTCACACGCTGTAAGTATAGACAACTTCTTGTCACATGCTGTAAGTATAGACAACTTCTTGTCACATGCTGTAAGTATAGACAACCTCTTGTCTTTAGACACGCTGTAAGTATAGACAACTTCTTGTCACACGCTGTAAGTATACACAACTTCTTGTCACACGCTGTAAGTATAGACAACTTCTTGTCACATGCTGTAAGTATAGACAACTTCTTGTCACACGCTGTAAGTATAGACAACTTCTTGTCACACGCTATAATTATGGACAACTTCTTGTCACACGCTGTAAGTATAGACAACTTCTTGTCACATGCTGTAAGTATAGACAACTTCTTGTCACACGCTGTAAGTATAGACAACTTCTTGTCACACGCTGTAAGTATAGACGACTTCTTGTCACATGCTGTAAGTATAGACAACTTCTTGTCACACGCGGTAAGTATAGACAACTTCTTGTCACACGCTGTAAGTATAGACAACTTCTTGTCACACGCTGTAAGTATACACAACTTCTTGTCACACGCTGTAAGTATAGACAACTTCTTGTCACACGCTGTAAGTATAGACAACTTCTTGTCACACGCTGTAAGTATAGACAACTTCTTGTCACACGCTGTAAGTATAGACAACTTCTTGTCACACGCTGTAAGTATAGACAACTTCTTGTCACACGCTGTAAGTATAGACAACTTCTTGTCACACGCTGTAAGTATAGACAACTTCTTGTCACACGCTGTAAGTATAGACAACTTCTTGTCACACGCTGTAAGTATAGACAACTTCTTGTCACACGCTGTAAGTATAGACAACTTCTTGTCTTACGCTGTAAGTATAGACAACTTCTTGTCACACGCTGTAAGTATAGACAACTTCTTGTCACACGCTGTAAGTATAGACAACTTCTTGTCACACGCTGTAAGTATAGACAACTTCTTGTCACATGCTGTAAGTATAGACAACTTCTTGTCACACGCTGTAAGTATAGACAACTTCTTGTCACACGCTGTAAGTATAGACAACTTCTTGTCACACGCTGTAAGTATAGACAACTTCTTGTCACACGCTGTAAGTATAGACAACTTCTTGTCACACGCTGTAAGTATAGACAACTTCTTGTCACATGCTGTAAGTATAGACAACTTCTTGTCACATGCTGTAAGTATAGACAACTTCTTGTCACACGCTGTAAGTATAGACAACTTCTTGTCACACGCTGTAAGTATAGACAACTTCTTGTCACATGCTGTAAGTATAGACAACTTCTTGTCACATGCTGTAAGTATAGACAACTTCTTGTCACACGCTGTAAGTATAGACAACTTCTTGTCACACGCTGTAAGTATAGACAACTTCTTGTCACATGCTGTAAGTATAGACAACTTCTTGTCACATGCTGTAAGTATAGACAACTTCTTGTCACACGCTGTAAGTATAGACAACTTCTTGTCACACGCTGTAAGTATAGACAACTTCTTGTCACATGCTGTAAGTATAGACAACTTCTTGTCACACGCTGTAAGTATAGACAACTTCTTGTCACATGCTGTAAGTATAGACAACTTCTTGTCTTTAGACACGCTGTAAGTATAGACAACTTCTTGTCACATGCTGTAAGTATAGACAACTTCTTGTCACATGCTGTAAGTATAGACAACTTCTTGTCACACGCTGTAAGTATAGACAACTTCTTGTCACATGCTGTAAGTATAGACAACTTCTTGTCACACGCTGTAAGTATAGACAACTTCTTGTCACACGCTGTAAGTATAGACAACTTCTTGTCACATGCTGTAAGTATAGACAACTTCTTGTCACATGCTGTAAGTATAGACAACTTCTTGTCACACGCTGTAAGTATAGACAACTTCTTGTCACATGCTGTAAGTATAGACAACTTCTTGTCTTTAGACACGCTGTAAGTATAGACAACTTCTTGTCACATGCTGTAAGTATAGACAACTTCTTGTCACATGCTGTAAGTATAGACAACTTCTTGTCACACGCTGTAAGTATAGACAACTTCTTGTCACACGCTGTAAGTATAGACAACTTCTTGTCACATGCTGTAAGTATAGACAACTTCTTGTCACATGCTGTAAGTATAGACAACTTCTTGTCACACGCTGTAAGTATAGACAACTTCTAGTCACACGCTGTAAGTATAGACAACTTCTTGTCACATGCTGTAAGTATAGACAACTTCTTGTCACATGCTGTAAGTATAGACAACTTCTTGTCACACGCTGTAAGTATAGACAACTTCTTGTCACATGCTGTAAGTATAGACAACCTCTTGTCTTTAGACACGCTGTAAGTATAGACAACTTCTTGTCACATGCTGTAAGTATAGACAACTTCTTGTCACATGACGCCATGGTGCGGAGACTTTCTGTAGATATGCTACGTGGGTAGGGAGAGTGGCAGTTGACAAAGGACGATTTTTTTACAATGAAAAACAATAAATTTACGTAAGGAGTCCGCACAGCTCTGATGGGTACCTGACTCCCGTTAGGGAAACAAAAAAGGCTAAGCCAAGTGCTGACATTCTCCCCTCGTATATGAGGTCATTGAAACAGATGAACTCTAATTTATCTGCCCCTTGTGTCGGGCACTATTGGGAAAAGATGATGATAGTGAAGGATTATTAATAAAAGAACTTTGACACGCCATTTTGTGGAGGGTTTTAGAGTTTTTGTGATGTGTAACAAAAAAGTTATCTTTTCGAACCTGATGGTCCATGGGGCAAGTGAAGTAGAGTTCACCTGTGACCTCGGCGTATGAAGGGATAGTGCAGTCAGTACTATGCCCAGCCACCTTTATGTGAGTTAGGTACCATTGAGAGCAGGATAACAAAATGGGAAGGGATACAAATCGTTTAAAACTGTGTTGCTCACGATCCCAATGTTTAGGCTCAGAGTTTTTAAACCAAATTGGTGAGTAAAAATTGTAGGTTCTATTAAGATGATGTTTACAGTAATTTCTGTAGTAACTTATACGTTATTATGACAATGTATGAATAGTTTTGTTTATTTTTAAAAATTTAAAGTTTGTAATTGTCATGTTTACAGTAAATTTTTAACACTTTTATTTCAGGCGTCAGAACGGGAGATAATCTGGGTCATGAGGGGTGCTATTTTCGGAGTGTCCGCCCTGGCTCTAGCCATGGCGCTGTGTGTCGAGTCCATCTACATCCTCTGGTACCTCTGTGCCGACCTCGTCTACGTCATCCTCTTCCCCCAGCTCGTCTCCGTCATCTACATCAAGAAGTCCAACACCTACGGCTCCCTGGGGGGGTACATCTTCGGCATGTTCATCCGTATAGCTGGAGGTGAGCACTCTATAGGCCTGCCCGCGCTCATCAAGTTCCCCCTGTTCGACGAGGTCAACCAAGTTCAAGGCTTCCCGTACAAAACTCTAGCCATGCTGGTCACTCTCCTGACCTTGGTCAGTATATCCTACTTCAGCATATACCTGTTCGAGAGCGGGATCCTCCCTCGGCGAATGGATATCTTCATGTGCATCGTCAACATCCCGGACGAGCAGATGGTGCTGGCATCACGCGAGAGTGTAGATGAGCACATCAAGTTCGGGCTGTACGGGAAGGAGAACGGCAAGGTCAACCCGGCCTTGAAGTTTTCCACCGAAGACCTCATCACGCCTGGAGATTCCGCCATCGAGAAAGTACTTCCGGAGAAGAGGAGCGATTTAATACAGTAGTGCTAGACTTGCAGGGAACAAAAGCCAGATTTTTTTTCAAATTTTTGATTCAAGGACAATCAATCCATCAACGACAGATAATCTTTTTTAAAAAAATCTAGACAAGAAACAGCAGCAACTAAATTGTATACCAAAGAATCAAATATATCTAAATGATGTTTGGTTTGTCTTGTCAAAAATATTTTCGAAAAATAAACTCTTTTATTGATTGTGGTGTAATTTAAAACAAACACAGAATTTCTCAAAATTCAGTTAACATTCAAAAATTCAAAAATAGGATTTTTCATTCTTCATTGATGAAGATTTCCCAATATCCCCAACAAAGAATTACTCTTAAACATATTTTCGCGAACATCTTGGGAACTACTCTACAAAAACCCGGCCTTGTCTACACTGTTTCCTGTTGTCTCTCTGGAAATATTTGACCTGAATTGTATCCCACATTCAGACTCTCGCCAATGTATTATAGTATTTCCTTATGTTTTGCGTTGCTAGGCGACGGTTCTGCGAAACCGGAAGTTCTGTGACAGTTTATGTGCTATGTACATACGTGACGACTACGCTGCTGCTACCCGTGGAGAAGGCACCATTAGCCAGTATGTAGATAGAATGTTCTAGAATTGTTTTAGTGATACGAGTGAGAATAAAAATACTGTGTATACTTTCCATAGAAGCCAAGTCAGCCCATAGACCCTGGGCTGATTATGTTGTTATATTTATTGTTATATTTATTGTTATATTTATTTCCAACTTAAATGTTGAAATGTAGTTATATTATGAATTATTTATGTGATCTGAACGTGGACTGTGATGTGTTTTGAGTGAGATATTTGTCGAATGCTAGACTTAGACCTATACACCAATTATAAGAGTTGATTGTCATTTTTTGAGAATTTGATGTCATCTATCTAAGATGATATCTGACAAAAAGATATACGACGTTCTGACAGACATTGTATCTGACATATGGGAGAAATGTGGGAGAAATGTATTGTCAGAGAAACATGTCATTGGTCAGAGAAATGTGTCATTTGTCAGAGAAATGTGTCATTGGTCAGAGAACTTGTCACGTGATGTGTAAGACAGAAACTAAACCCCGAAAAACACGAGAAAATAAAACGTATTTTGTCCTTTATTTTCCGGCTTGACGCCCATCAACAATGCGCTTTCAAAATTGTATCTCAAAAGTGTGCAATTCGCATAAAGGACAAATTCTTATGTTGTACAATTCGCATAAAGGATATATTCTTATATTGTATAATTTAAATAAAGGACATATTCCTTTGTTGTACAATTCGCATAAAGGATATATTCTTATGTTGTACAATCGTATAAAGACATATTTGTATGTGAAATCTGTATATGTGTAAACATGTTTCAAACGCAACCAAAATGGGTGATGCTCTATCGATGTGAAGATTATTATGTCCGTGCATATACCAACATATTCTTGTTAGATAGTAGTTAAAATCTTTTTCTGCATGTGTAAGTCCTAGATAGAACCAAGTATTATTATGTATATTTCATTTTATTAAAATATTATTTTTCATAATTTATTAAATATGTATGAATTCTGCTTTAAACCAAGATTACAGTAAGCAGTTGAAGTCTACATACTTAGGTCATGAAAAAATTACCTTGGTATTTACAAATCAGTTTGGGCAAGGTTGTATGATTGTAAATATAATCAATAAAAATAAAAATTTTAATAATAATTTGGTAAAAAAATGCATAGAGAATGCGGAAGGAAGGAATACGTGCTTAAATTTATTTTCAACTACTGACTACAGATTTTGATTATCCCAAAAAAAAATTCGTGCCGATTCCATTCATTAAAACAAGGTAAAACCGAGCTAAATACTAGCACAACGAATACATTCCTTATACTAGCATTCAATTCAATGTTGTTTCTAGCACAATTTTATTTGTAAAAATATTTCATGTATTTTTAATTTCGAAGTGTCTACTCGGAATAAGATTTTTCGGCAAAAGATAGTTCTGCGCATGCGCAGTGACCTATGGCTAGGGTTAGGGCTAGATTGAGGGTTAGGGGTAGGATTAGGGATAGGGTTAGGGATAGGATTAGGGCTAGGGTTAGGGATAGGATTAGGGCTAGGGTTAGGGATAGGATTAGGGATAGGATTAGGGATAGGGTTAAGGATAGGATTAGGGTTGGTATTAGGGTTCTGCGGTTGTAAACACACGCATGCGCAGTACCATCGAAAACATCGCCGCTAAGTCGTAGTTTCTCTCCATTGCGCATGCGTATCGCATGCGTATCTTATTCCGACTAGAATCGGCCTTTTAATTTTTGCCTGCGTGAACGAGGGGAGATAAACAGAATATATTGTTGGCTTGTAGTGACTTAGCCCGTTAGATTGATGTTACTTTAGATGACATTCCAGAGCTTACAATTACTGTGTGCGTATTATTTATTTGTGTGTACTATATTATAACATGTGTACTGGGAGTACAGTTTTAAAAACAATGACGTGACCTAACAAACTGCTTATTGTTGAGAGAGAAGTCCTGAGGATTGTCCTACAGTGTGTCCTGTAGTTTGTCTTGCAGCATGCCCAGGTTTGCTTACAAAATATAGATGGATGATGTAGGACAATAATCTACAAATATATGTTACGAGCCGACCCGCTGCGTATCATACGCCGCTATTTAGTTGTTTTTTTTCTACTTTTCAGTAATTTATAATTTGTGAATTCGACAGTACCAATGCTGCCACTGAAAATATTTGCTTAAAAACACTAAACCCCCTCCCCCCCCCCCCCCCCCCCACGTAAAAGCAGCCTCCTCTTAGTTACCTCCTCTAAGTTTAAAATCGTTTCAAACTGAATTATCTGCCCCTAATAGCCGTCACCAAACCCGTCTCTATGATTGTAAAATGTAAACAGAGTGAACACAGCTCACCAGATCATGTGGGGTGGGGGTGATAGTGATCGAGAGGAAGAGAGGGGACTGCAAAGGCGCGCTTGCAGCTTGTTTTCTAACTGATCCCAGAAGAGAATTATATATATAGATTGTCACATTTATAATGATTTTCTAATATATATATATATATATATATATATATATATATATATATATATATATATATATATATATATATATATATATATATATATATATATATATATATATACATGTATATATATATACATATAAATATATATGTATATGTATATACATGTATGTATGTATATATATATATATATATATATATATATATATATATATATATATATATATATATAATCATTTGTTTAGTGTCGGTCATAGAAATTATAGATGTGTATATATAAATAAATTTAAAATAAGATTTACAAGATGTGAGTTATATATAAATTTATTTATTTATTAAAAACCATTTAATCTCTATATGTAATACCTCATTAAGGAATAAGCTTACCCTTGATTTAGAACCAAATACAGTTTTTATCCACAAACAATATTTTTATGATAGCTATGTTGTAAACTTTGAATATATATATACAGAACTACGTTCATCAACCTTTCTTAGATATAACGATGTCAAAAACCTAGACTGGAATAATGTCAATGTTTTTCAGATGCTGCGAGGTAGTTGGGTTGGGTTGCCTCTGTTATTATGTTGTTTGTTGTTGCTTTGAACCCTGAGGTTGTAACTAGAATAGATTCTGTGTTTTGTTGTCAGTAGAAAGGACATTATGGAGAATAATAAAAAGCAATTTAAAAACCTGAACTTTTTGTTGCTGAGTTGGATTAACTAAACAAAGTTTGTATTTTATTTTCACATTTGTCAGGGTTTTCCTTAGTCTGCTGTGTATTTGGACTGCAAAGTTCTGTTTTTCTAATAGCTGCTTAGAATTTAAATATAAAATTATATCCTTATAGACAAGACATGTAAATGAATCATAGATTTTACAAAACAATTAAATACTTGATTGTTTTTGAGCAAAGTTTTTCAGAATAAGTGCGTATTCTTAAAAACTTTATTTTTCATTTATTCAATTTTTTATTTATAAAAAGATTATCTGACATAACATTAACTCAAATCTTCTGGCATATCAACCAAGCATCCTTTATGTAAAGAAAAATATTACATGCATTTAAGCAAATGGAATAGTTAAACAATGTTATAATCTTTAATGTAAATAGTGATGTTTATAGGGAAGAATTCACATCATAGAATGATTTAATAAATAAATGTGTATCTAAATTAATATATATACATATAAAAAAGTATATATGTATATATATATATATATATATATATATATATATATATATATATATATATATATATATATACATACATATACATATACATATACATTATAATGTTATGAAATGTAAATTTAGTTATCCAAAGAAGATAATATAATGCTAGCTATAATATTTTATGTACAATTTGTACAAAGTTATCAGGGTATATAAATAATATATTTATTTTATAAATCAGAAAATTTAAAACATCAACAACATGAGCTTACACTTTGGTGGATTAACAAGCAGGATGCTCTATTTTGTCAATTCTTCAACTGACTGATTAACAGAGTTATTGTTACTGCACTCGAAGATATTTGGATTTATTTGAGTTTTCTCCCTTACATTATGCTGTAGGTTGTTGTTTTTTCTTTTTTCTTTTTATTTCTTTTTTTTTTTCTTTTTTTTTCATTCAGAGGAAATAGACTTTTATTCTTGTTATTGCTTAAATTAGCAGGAAGAACTTCGATTGAATGTTAGCACGAAAAACAACACTATATAGTGATAATGGGTTTGTGTTCGAATCTTCCAAGTCAGCAACTGTCTAGTGATGGTGGTGGGTTGGAGTTCGAGTCTTCCAAGTCAGCGATTGTTTGGTGATGGTGGTGGGTTGGCATTTGAATCTTCTAAGGTAGCTACTGTCTAGGGCGAAGACGTGAGACGCCTCTGGATCTCTGAGACGGACTCCCTGTGTTCTGTGGTGCTGAGTCTGTGTTCCAGGTTCAAGGCCGTCTCTCTAATGTCACTGTCCACGTCACGCTCTTCTGCCTGTGGAAAAATTGGAGTCGAGATTTGATAAGAAACGAACAGAAGAATATTCCTATATCCTTCCCTTTATGTGGGATGGGATATTTTTTTTAAATAATGTTTTGGTTATTTAGTCAGAACAATGAATTCATTATTTAATCAGAAAAGTGAATGTGTTTTTAATCAGAACGATGAAATTTTTTTTATCAGAAAAATGAATTTTTTATTTAATCAGAACAAGGAATTTATTTTTTAATTAATTAATCAGAACAATAAATTTGCTTTTTAAATGATAAATCAGAACAATGAATCCGTTTTTAAACAGAACAATGATTTTTTTTCATTTTTTTACACAGCTGTAAAACGTTGTTGAACAAATTTAAAATTTCTATCACAATTTATAAAAAAAAACAAATAATAATGAACGCGGGTGCTTAAAACTTTGAGAGGGAGGCTGTTAATGCGCTCGTATTAACGGTGTTTTAAAAAGCGATGGTACAGTAATTTATTGGGGTTATTTATTGTGAAGTTTGGCTAAATTGGTACAGTAATTTACTGGAGTTACAATTGTGAAGTTTAGCTTATCTGGTACAGGAGTTTACTGGAGCTATTATTGTGAAGCTTGGCTTACCAGGTACAGTTACTAATGTAAAGTTTGGCTTATCTGGTACAATAGTTTATTGGAGTTACTAATGTAATGTTTAGCTTACCTGAGCTGTTACAGATTTAATCACCCTGTGAAGGTAGAAACACAAGAATGTAATTATAAACTCTTAAAATAAACACTTGGGACGCGACAAGAAATTAATTAACTTCGACAAGAAATTATTGAACTTAAATTATTTTGATTGTAAATAAGATCCCCAGCCCCTAAAGTTAAGGGTTAAGTTAAGGTCATGACTCCCAGATTATAACTCCTGGGTCTAGGTCATATCTACCAGGTCTTGTCTCCCAAGCAGGGGTAGACTGCCTGTGTCCGAGACGCCCCGGGGAAATTTTAAAAAGTACCCCCATCCAAGATTGAAATTTGTATTGTGCATTTTTTTGTCTCCATCAAATTGAATGTTACGCTTTGGTATGGAGTAATGGAGAAATCCCAAAAATGTTTTTTTTTTGTTAAATCAAAACACTAATAGGAATATTTTAGCAACGTTCCTGGGGGCCAAACCACATATTATTCACGGAGATTTTTCCCGTCGAGCAAGTCCAGCCCCAGGTCATGGCCCGTAGGTCATGACCTGTAGGTCATGATCCCCAGGTCATGGCCTAGGTCATGATTACAAGTTCATGGCTCCCAGGTCATCTAATGTCATGTCTGCCATAGCAGAGATATGTCATATATATAAACATGTGTATATTTCTACCTGCTACTCTAGTAAGAAACAGCTGAACTCACCAGTCGGGTATTTTAGGTGTTGAATGTTTCTTTATAACTGTTGGAGCATAAAAATAACGTGTTAGTCTTTTGATGGACAGAGTAATCCAATATGTGGGAAAACGGAATGTAAAGGAATAGTATTTTGTATTTTTTTTCAGTTCATTCTATTTAATTCAGAGATTGACAATACTTTCTCTTTTTAAAAAATGAGTCAACATTACTTTACACTTTATTATTCGAAGACATTACCTGGGTAAAAAAATAATATTTTTAAAAATCAGGTTTTGAATTCATTAAATTTTAAAATTTAATAGCGACTGCATTAAAAACATGAGCCAGCAAACATAAATAAAATAAACGTTTTGTCCCTATAGTACCGGTGTCTTTAGTACAAGTGATTTAATGTAGGATAATCTTCGTGGAGCCTTGTCCAAAAGATGACAATACCGTTTGAACTATCAAATAGGAAATGCTTCAACAAATAACTATACAACTACGTATACTATACAACCTTAAGTATAAATGATATTACCAGGGGCGGAACTACAGTGCCACCAGACCCCGCAATGCGGGGGGCCCACGCCATTTAGGGGCCCATAGCCGACCATAATAATTTTTGTATAGTTAAAAAAAAAATCTTGCATTTTTGACTTGACAAATAACAAACAGATCTACTACTGTTGTGATGTTATACCAGGGGTCGGCAACCTGCGGCTCGCGAGCCGCATGCGGCTCTTTTGATATCAAGATGCGGCTCCCCAGCTCCTTGAACAAATACTAATAATCTTAATAAAAAATAAAACATTTCAAATTAAAAAAAAATGTTAGTGGCTCTTAAAAACTAGGGAAATTTTGAAAATTGTAACTTTTGGCTCTTCCGCTTCAAAAGGTTGCCGACCCCTGTGTTATACAGTAGCTAACACAAGCTGTTGCGTAAAAAAGATATATATGCCTGAGCTGTAGTGTGAAAGATAGGCAAACGTCCAAAACACTTCCATGACTTATTTCCCTTTTTTAAATAGTTAAATAGGGGTGCACCTTTTAATATATTTGTACTAAACAAATAAAAAAGCAGTTACTTATCTTAAGTATTATTTAAAAAGAAATACAAACTAAAGACTGACATAGCATAAAAAGGAAATATATTTAAAACAAATAATATAAATACGAAAAAACATAAAAATAAACATAACACGAGAAACCATTTCACAAACAAAGCTTTCACGTTTTATATTTTTTGACCGGATTTAAACTATCACTTTGCAAAGTTCATAGAATCGGCTGTATTATAGCGAACATATCTAATGAATTAGTTCTAAATCTAAAAAAAAAAATTTCAAAACAGACTAATTAACACACTCACATGACATGTTGTAATTTGTTTAAATTGGAAAAGAAAAGACATTTTTTATTTCAAACCCGATCAAACCAGAAATGAGTATCCAATGTTTGTGTTATGTGTTTGTATGTATATATATATATATATATATATATTTATATATTTATATATATATATATATATATATATATATATATATATATAGGAGGGGGTGGCCCTTTTTGCGGGGTGGCCCTTTTTTCTAGTTCCGCCACTGGATATTACAATGAGTATAAATGGTCTTATTGATGACTAGGCAGATATAAATGTAGATGACTAGTTAACCCTGCTTTTGGCCCTATAGTTGACTCTAGATCAGCCCAATCGTCCTTGTGGCTGATGTGAATGTACCATATTTGCTCCTGTAGCTAAGCTCTGTAAGTTACACTGATAAAACCTCATTCAGTCCCAATATTTTATCTTGTAGTTGGCTAAGTGACAATGCGCAGCGCCTTCCCGAAGGCGATCCTCTGGCTGCCCTAGACGACACACTAAACGTACATTTAATCAACCCATCAAATGACCCATAACTGACCCAAAACATGACCCTAGAATTAACCCAACATGTGACCTTTCAACTGAACCACCAAATGACCCACCAATTGACCCAGGAACTGACCTAGCAGATGACCCTATATTTACCTTTATAGTTCTCCTTGTCCCCAGAGAACGAACCGAGCCTGTGTCTGCCGGCATCAGAGCCGTCATCACTATCGTCAGAGTTCCAGTGTTCATGCTGGGGAGGGTGGGAGGTGGAGGGGCTGACCACAATCTCGGGTACAGCCCCTTCCAGGGTATGGTACGAGGAGTTGATGTGGTGTGAGGGCTCCTTGTGGTGTGTGGGCTCCGTGTGGTGTGTGGGGTCGTGGTGTGAGGGGCCCTGGTGTGAGGGGCCAGCGTGGTGTGTGGGGCCCTGGTGTGTGGGGCCCTGGTGTGTGGGGCCGGACTGCTGTCGGCTGTGGTGACCATACACGAGTTGAGGACCGTCGGTCTTGCCTTGCACCACGTCCACAGTTTCGTAATCCCCGTCGTAGCCATGTCCGACGTGGTGGCCTCTGACAACTTCCGGCGTCTCGATATGCCCGTACACCCGCTGCGCATGCGCAGACTCGCCCTGCTCCGTGCTGGAGATCACGAGACGTCCGTCCTCCCCTACCTTGACCTTCTGTTTGATGACGTGGACCGTGGGAGCGACCCCTGTGACGTCACCCACCCGTCCGGTGTCTTCGTGGACTATCTGGCCATGCACGAACTGACCACTGCTCCGGTTGGAGTCTCTGTCCCCGTTCATCTCGCGGGGCATGATGGTCCCGCTGACCACGCGATTGGTCTCCCCTTTCACGTTGATGACCGAGATCGCCTTGCCGTTGCGGACGGTTTTGTGAACTTCGTCATCAGTTTTGTGGTGACGTCCTCTGTGGTGTTTTCCCTTTCTGACGTCATAGGTGTCTGACGTCTCGTGGAAGACGTACTCGTTCTCCGCTCGGCCGAGGATCTTTGGCCTGGGGATAGCACGCGAGCATCGTTTTATGCACGTTTATGATCATATGTATGGAGTGGGGGGGAGGGGGGTTTAGATTGATTGTTCCGTAAAAGAACAGTTTGGTACACTTTTAATTCACAAACATTCGTAGGCAGAGGCGTAGCGAGGGGGGGGGGGGGTGGTGCGGACCGCACCGGATGACACCATTTAGGGGGGTGACACCAAGGCAAAAAATAGCAAAATATATAGAAGAAAAAATTGAGGGGGGGTGCAAATCGAAAGTTTGAGGGGGGTGCAAATCGAAAGCTTGAGGGGGGTGCAAATCGAAAGATTGAGGGGGGGGTGCAAATCGAAAATTGATAGTTTGTCCCCGGGAAGGGTCGCTACGCCTCTGGGGGGGGGGGGGGTGACACCATTAAGTGCCGCACCGGGTGACAACAACCGACCTCGCTACGCCACTGTTCGTAGGTTTGTAAACTACTTGTAGGCTTTTGAAAAAGTGTATTTTAAATCGTGAACTACACTTAAAAATATGAAGGTTTATGATGGTAAGGTTTCTTAGATAATGTTAAAAACTAACAGCTTTCGAGTTAAAAATAATAAAATATTGAATTTTTAGCGCAAGCAAAATTTTCTATGTACAAACATTGTATGAAAGTGATCTTTAAATTGTGATTAAACGGAGACTTTAGTTGGTATTTTGAAACAGCTTTTGTTGATTTAAATTAAGCCTCAGTGGTGAGGGAATGGGCTTTTGGGAAATGGGTTAAGATGGGCCATTGTTATTTGTACAAACTGTCATACACACCTGTAGCCGTTCATGGCACGGAAGGGAGGGTCCAGGTGCTGGTCAAACGTGCTGGTCGAACTCTGGACATTTCTCGCCCACTCGGAGACTTCTTGAACACGTGACCTTGGCAATGACGTCTTCCGGGACTCGAGGCGTCTGGAATTTTTTTTAAATAATTTTTTCATCATGTGGTGATAGATGGGTTTAAGTTTTCGGTGTTTAAGGATTGGGAGTCGTGCTTCTTTCAGGCATCTCTTCGGGGTGGGGAAGTGTCGTCCCCCTCCCCCTTGATCAAGTCTACGCCCCCCCCAAACAAAATATAATTTATATAGAAAATATTTACTTTTACCAGTCTCCGCACTCCCCTCCCCCCCTGGAAAATCTAGTCCGTCCCCACCACCTTTCCCATATCCACACCACTCTCCCCCCCCCCCCCCCAGGAGAAAAAAGTCTGAAAGAAACACTGATTACGAGACTAGAGATATAAAGACTAAGGATTGAGAGTCTACGAAATGTGGAAGTCTCAAGGTTAAGGAGGTCTAAGTATTAGCCGGCTAATGAATTTGGAATCAACTATTCGAAACCATAAACATTTCGGTTGTCCGAAATGGGTTTTTTTTTTTCAAGAAAAAGATTAGCAAATAATAAATGGAAACTACCGATAAATAACTGGCAAATTCACTGACCCCAATAAAAACTTTAAGGACATTGCTAACCAATAAAACTACAAGAACCAAAGGTAGGACCAACGCGGCACTAACCACATTGACAATCACAATACTGACCACTAGGCCAGTGATAGCACTGACCTTTAGGACCACAACAACACGGACCCCTCCGTCCCATAGCACCATCATAACACTGACCACTCGGAACCCTGACACCATCATAACACTGACCACTTGGAACCCTGACACCACCAGAACACTGACCACTTGGAACCCTGACACCATCATAACACTGACCACTTGGAACCCTGACACCACCAGAACACTGACCACTTGGAACCCTGACACCATCATAACACTGACCACTTGGAACCCTGACACCACCAGAACACTGACCACTTGGAACCCTGACACCACCAGAACACTGACCACTTGGAACCCTGACACCACCAGAACACTGACCACTTGGAACCCTGACCACTAAGAGCACTGACCTGAAGCAGTTATATGACACGATGACGCCCAGCACAAAGATAAGAAACAAGATGACGCAGGAGGAAGCGATAAGTCCAATAGCTGACGTGTCCATTTCCAGTCCCCGCGGTCATCCCTCGGTCATCTTTAACTGGTTGATTTAATTACCAGGCTGATTTCATGTGTCTGCTTCTGTCAAACTCTGCAATTAAGATAGAATTTATATTGTTTGAAATTGGATCAGCTAGGTAGTTTAACTCGACTCACACAGGCTATACTTACAAACTAAATGTTTATATATATATATATATATATATATATATATATATATATATATATATATATATATATATATATATATATATATATATATATATATATCGCCCCGGGAGTGGGAGAACTCATGATAGCTAGCCCGAAAGTCCCGAATTAGTTGGGGACAGCAATCTATCAGGGAGTGAACAATCCGAAATCAAGCTGGAGTAAAGCCCCTTGTATGATACCAACTCTGGATACCTTCAGTAACTTTTCCAACCCAAGTTGATACCAAACATATAGTGCTTAGATTTACATTGGTCTATACTTGCAAAGGTTGAGAGAGTGGGATCACATGAACACGCATGAGTAAAATAATGCACGCCTAATGAACGCAACGAATGTGTGTAAATCGGAATTATGATTAGTAATTCTAAAGCAATCATTACTATTTTAACATTTAATTATTTCAAAGATCTCTTGACAATGAATTGTCGTCAGATCTTAAACTAGGTGTCAAGTTTAAAACAAATCGGCTCGGTAGATGTGAAGAAAATTATATTTTCAAATTCCCACCCATGACGACATACTGCGACAAGGAAGAAAATTATGTGCAAGTTTGCATAAATGTAGCGGTTTGACTCCTTGGTGTAAGGAATAAGTTGTCTGCAGCAGACTTAGGACTAGTCTGGTCTGTCTGATATCTGAGATGTGTGTCCAGATAATTAGAAACGGAGGCTGACTACGTGAGACTACGTGGGACTAACTACTTGAGACAGACTACGTGAGACTGCCTATGTTACGTAAGACAGTCTACGAGAGACAGGCTACGTGAGACAGACTACGTGAGGAAAGGTTCGGAGTGTCCTAACAGTATACTAAGAATGTTTGTTTTTAAAGTAAAATACACATTATTTAACACGTACATATTAATCGTGACGTGTAACGCATTAAAATACACAGCACCTTACACATCACTTAATTAACACACTTGATTAACACATCATGTAACTTACCCTAAAATAAACCACCTAATTAACACATACGCAACACTATGTAATGACAGCCATTAAGCCAACACGAACACACCATTTAACGAACTCAGAAACCTGACACCATTCAACACTGCATAACACCATTCAACACTGCATAACACCATTCAACACTGCCCAGACTTCACTGCCGGCCCTAATAGCTTTGATACCGTCAACATTTCAATACAAGAAAACGATCTGTGAACGCCCAAATTTTGACGTGTTTCAAGTTAACTCAGGCATTCACTGGGCTCAAGTCAAGCGAAAATATGTCTTGAATCAAAGGGATTCGGTTGGTCGCTGGCTTGATATTAGGGCAGTTGTTGGCAGGTTTTAATTATCAAAGGAGCTACAAGCAGGTTTTAATTATCAGTGGAGCTACAAGCAGGTTTTAATTATCAGTGGAGCTTTAAGAAGGTTTTAATACTTCAAAAAGAGTCATAACTTGTAGGGCATTAACTGGCAGGTTTTATTACTTGATATAAAGGCTACCGCAGGTAGGGTTATTATTGGGTTATAAATTTTACAGTTAGATGCAGATTTTAATACCAGGGGCGGAACTACCATGCTGCCAGACCAAGCAATGGGGGGGGGGGGGGGGTCATGGCCGTCTAGAAGGCCCGAATTCTGACTCAAAAAAAAATAAATTTAATTAACGGGAAGTAGACGTCTTAGTTTGAGAATCCCTGAACACATTTGCTACCCTATAATTAACAAGGATGTACGGCCCAGAAAATCTACCACAGGCGTGTCGTGTAGCAGAATTGCAACAATTTATAGTTACACAATACAGTCGGATTGGTTAAGCTACAGGGGTAGGATTGCTAAATCTTACAGCTAACCAGCTACATAACAGCCTTGATTTGCTACACGTTAGCATTACTCCAACTTACATCAAACCGGCTACTTAACAGCCATGTTAGGCTACAAGGGTAGCATGGTTAAACCTTACAAGTTACCCGTTACATTGCAACCTTGTTATGCTACAATAAAATTGAAAAAAACCAGGATGGGATACCACGGGTGATGGTTACATAGATAGATGTAGTCTGAAGTGGGGTGCTAAAACGTTCAAATTTACTTCCGTATATAGACACATATATCATAAAGATAAGCGCCCACAATGGATGATTGTGCTAATTTACAATATAATTATGTACACACAGACACATACATATATATATGTATGTATATATATATATATATATATATATATATATATATATATATATATATATATATATATATATATATATATATATATATATATATATATATATATATATATATATATATAATTTATTCAATTTATAAGTATATTTTTACGTATCACACAACCTAACTGCCCGTCCTAAACCAAACACACAACCTACCTGCCTGTCATCACACGATCTACCTACTTGTCCTAAACCAAACACACAACCTACCTGCCTGTCATCACACAACCTACCTGCCTGTCCTAAGCCAAACACACAACCTACCTGCCTGTCTTCACACAACCTACCTGCCTGTCATCACACAACCTACCTGCCTGTCTTCACACAACCTACCTGCCCGTCCTAAACCAAACACACAACCTACCTGCCTGTCATCACACAACCTACCTGCCTGTCCTAAACCAAACACACAACCTACCTGCCTGTCATCACACAACCTACCTGCCTATCCTAAACCAAACACACAACCTACCTGCCTGTCATCACACAACCTACCTGCCTGTCATCACACAACCTACCTGCCTGTCTTCACACAACCTACCTGCCTGTCATCACACAACCTACCTGCCTGTCTTCACACAACCTACCTGCCTGTCTTCACACAACCTACTTGCCCGCCCTAAACTAAACACACAACCTACCTGCCTGGCCTAAACCACACACACAACCTACCTGCCTATCATCACACAACCTACCTGCCTGTCTTCACACAACCTACCTGCCTGTCTTCACACAACCTACTTGCCCGCCCTAAACTAAACACACAACCTACCTGCCTGTCTTCACACAACCTACCAGCCCGTCCCAAGCCAAACACACAACCTACCTGTCCGGCCTAAACTAAACACACAACCTACCTGCCTGTCCTAAACTAAACACACAACCTACCTGCCTGTCCTAAACTAAACACACAACCTACCTGCCCGTCCTAAACTAAACACACAACCTACCTGCTGTCCTAAACTAAACACACAACCTACCTGCCCGCCCTAAACTAAACACACAATCTACCTGCCCGCCCTAAACTAAACACACAACCTACCTGCTGTCCTAAACTAAACACACAACCTACCTGCCTGTCTTCACACAACCTACCTGCCCGCCCTAAACTAAACACACAACCTACCTGCCCGCCCTAAACTAAACACACAATCTACCTGCCCGCCCTAAACTAAACACACAACCTACCTGCCCGTCCTAAACTAAACACACAACCTACCTGCCTGGCCTAAACCACACACACAACCTACCTGCCTGTCTTCACACAACCTACCTGCTTGTCATCACACAACCTACCTACCCGTCCTAAACCAAACACACAACCTACCTGCCCGTCCTAAACTAAACACACAACCTACCTGCCTGGCCTAAACCACACACACAACCTACCTGCCTGTCATCACACAACCTACCTGCCTGTCATCACACAACCTACCTGCCTGTCTTCACACAACCTACCTGCCTGTCATCACACAACCTACCTGCCTGTCATCACACAACCTACCTGCCTGTCATCACACAACCTACCTGCCTGTCTTCACACAACCTACCTGCCTGTCCTAAATCAAACACACAACCTACCTGCCTGTCTTCACACAACCTACCTGCCTGTCATCACACAACCTACCTGCCTGTCTTCACACAACCTACCTGCCTGTCCTAAACCAAACACACAACCTACCTGCCTGTCATCACACAACCTACCTGCCTGTCTTTAAACACACAACCTACCTGCCTGTCTTTAAACACACAACCTACCTACCCGTTCTAAACTAAACACACAACCTACCTGCTGTCTTAAACTAAACACACAATCTACCTGCCCGTCCTAAACTAAACACACAACCTACCTGCCCGTCCTAAACTAAACACACAACCTACCTGCCCGTCCTAAACTAAACACACAACCTACCTGCCTGGCCTAAACCACACACAACCTACCTGCCTGTCTTCACACAACCTACCTGCCTGTCATCACACAACCTACCTACCCGTCCAAAACCAAACACACAACCTACCTGCCCGTCCTAAACTAAACACACAACCTACCTGCCTGGCCTAAACCACACACACAACCTACCTGCCTGTCATCACACAACCTACCTGCCTGTCATCACACAACCTACCTGCCTGTCTTCACACAACCTACCTGCCTGTCATCACACAACCTACCTGCCTGTCTTCACACAACCTACCTGCCTGTCCTAAACCAACACACAACCTACCTGCCTGTCTTCACACAACCTACCTGCCTGTCATCACACAACCTACCTGCCTGTCTTCACACAACCTACCTGCCTGTCCTAAACCAAACACACAACCTACCTGCCTGTCATCACACAACCTACCTGCCTGTCTTTAAACACACAACCTACCTGCCTGTCTTTAAACACACAACCTACCTACCCGTCCTAAACTAAACACACAACCTACCTGCTGTCTTAAACTAAACACACAATCTACCTGCCCGTCCTAAACTAAACACACAACCTACCTGCCCGTCCTAAACTAAACACACAACCTACCTGCCTGTCATCACACAACCTACCTGCCCGTCCTAAACCAAACACACAACCTACCTGCCTAACCTAAACCACACACACAACCTACCTGCCTGTCATCACACAACCTACCTGCCCGTCCTAAACTAAACTCACAACCTACCTGCCTGGCCTAAACCACAAACACAACCTACCTGCCCGTCCTAAACTAAACACACAACCTACCTGCCTGGCCTAAACCACACACACAACCTACCTGCCTGTCATCACACAACCTACCTACCCGTCCTAAACCAAACACACAACCTACCTGCCTGTCCTAAACCAAACACACAACCTACCTGCCCGTCCTAAACTAAACACACAACCTACCTGCCCGTCCTAAACCAAACACACAACCTACCTGCCCACCCTAAACCAAACACACAACCTACCTGCATGTCATCACACAACCTACTTGCCCGTCCTAAACCAAACACACAACCTACCTGCCCGTCCTAAACCAAACACACAACCTACCTGCCCGTCCTAAACCACATATCCCAACAAACAGCCTACCTTGTTACGACACACAGACTGTTATATAAGCACCGGCCCGTTCAAATCTCGAATAGAATTCATTTCACCGTACCCAGACCATGCCTATTCATTTGGAACCGTCGCCATAGATTCGCGGTGCGTATTGAAAACCGTACGGTCCGTATTGATCGTGGTAGAGGGGTTGTGCCAAGTGTTGACATGGTCCGACAAAAGATGGAAAAATTGTATACACTCTGTAGCTCAAGTTTTTTTTTACGCATGAAATTTAGACTGAAAACAAAATCGGGTTTTTAGCGTCTTATGTAGAGACTTGTCTTGTAAGAGGTAGAGTGATTTTTTTTTTAATATTACTAAAACGGGTTATAATTTTCTGTTTTATCTCTTGTTCTTTAGGAGTTGATTGTTACCGAAGTTAACTGCTTCAATATAAGCGATTTATAGTGATATTGATATTTGATGATATAATTGATACATAATGAGTGGACTAAATAAGTATAACAGTTTGTAGAGCTCTTTTGTGTATTTAAACAGGGAAGTAAATTTCAAACATTAATCTGGCTTACTACAAGTTGGCTCACTGACAAATTGGCCCACTGACAAGTTGGCCCACTGAGAAGTTGGCCCACTGACAAGTTGGCCCACTGACTAATTGGTCCACTGACAAATTATCACACTGACAAGTTGGCCCACTGACAATTTGACAAATTTGTCGACTGACATATAGGTCCACTGAAGAATCGATCTCAACGAAAATATTTACCTACCCAGCTCAGAAAAGAAGTCTCCACAATTTCTTTCAGTTCAACTGAACAAGCGACTAGCAACGTTTTAGGTAATGTGAGATAATCGCTGTAAAACTAAACTCTCAACTGCCACGATAATCACATGGGTTATGGAACTTCTGGGGGGGGGGGTGAGAGTGTGGGCGTATGTTCCAGGTGATCGTCTGCTTGCACCTAGCTAGAGTTACCTGACCTCACCTGTAACCTTCTAATCTCAAGTTCTCCCAGGACTTGAGTGACGTATCGAAACATGTCACTCACGCTTTGATACTCGAACCAGACGACACAGCTGTTTTTTTCAGACGACAGACAGCAGATAAGGTTGGTACACATTTTTCGAGGGGGGCGGGGGGTATTCATAGTGAACGATCACTTCGACGGCCATCGGTGGCCACTGACAGCCACTGACGGCCACTGTAGGTCACCAACGACCACCTACAGCCACCCATGTTCCCCAACGACCACCAACAGCCTCCCATGTTCCCCAACGACCACCAACAGCCTCTTATGTTCCCCAACGACCACCAACAGCCTCTCATGTTCCCCAACGACCACCAACAGCCTCTCATGTTCCCCAACGACCACCAACAGCCTCTCATGTTCCCCAACGACCACCAACAGCCTCTCATGTTCCCCAACGACCACCAACAGCCTCTCATGTTCCCCAACGACCAACTCTTCATTGAACGACTCCTCAAGTACTGAGCTATTTTCTCCAGTATTTTAACCCTTTACTTTTCAACCAGTTCTTAATAATAAACAGGTTGTAATCCAATGAACAAATCGTTAAAAAAGTGCTAAAACTGAAGTACTAATAGTTATTCAATGAACAAATCGTTAAAAAAGTGCTAAAACCGAAGTCCTAATAGCTTCAACTTACAGTACAAAACACGCATTTTAGGAACTGGTATTTTGTTTTCTATAATAAACAGTTCTATGTCGTGTTGAGAAAGGAAAAGAAATATATTTTTGGATTTATCGATCCATAATCATTCAATGATCTGTGACTGCTATTGAGCTGTAGTCCTTTGACTTTCAATGCTAACGACCCAAAAATGTAAATTTTAGCAGCGAATGCCGTTTATATCAGCAACACCTTCGATCTTTTCATTGGGAAATGAAAACGTTGAAGGCATGCACTTTGGTAAACAGGTGATCAATAAATATTTGACTAGACTGGGCTGGTGTGCAGATATGGCTAATGATTCACAATATCAAATGCAACAGAACATAGTGGCGCACATATTTTCAGCACCTAGACGGTGTAGCCTGCCTAAAACAGGCTTACAGAAAACAAATACTGAAATGTGCATGCATTCAATTTCAATGTCTATGCTTTTAAAATAAATTGACTATTTATAATAAACTATAATAAAATCTGCAACAAAAATTTTTCACTATTAATTTGTTATTATTTTTTAACAATACTTTTAAATCATGGACCCTATTGGAAGACTTTAATGCTAGAATTAACGTTGTGTTTTGTTTTGTTTTTTTTGTGTTTTTTTAGCTAGATTTAATATGACGATATTCTATTAAATCAAGTAACTGTTCGTGAGTTCAACTGGGAAACTATTATGCTAAAGCTTTCCAGATTTCTATAATATGTATCTTGTGTTTACGTTTCAAAACGTTTTACACTTTAATGTACACTGTTGTTATTTTTGTCCATTTGTAAATATAAAAGTATTGCTCGCTCTAAAAATCTTTACATTCTGAGGTCGATTTCTTTACGCTTGTTGTAATAGCTGTAAAAATGTATTATTCTTTGAAAAGCTTGTTGAAATAAATTTTTATATAAATTGATACTAATCGAATCTGAATACCACGTTTTTATTTTTGAAACCTTAAATTTTATGTTAAAATAATCTCAGGTTAGTTAAGAAAGCCGGAAATACAGAAACAATTCAGCACTAAATTCAGGCGAACTGTACCCTACCTGCTCCCGTTAACCGTCATGCATCGATAAGTTAGCAGTGAGGGATGTATAAATAACTAAGGGGAGAGAACAACAAATAAAGCGGGGTAAATCATGTTTTCTTAAGTGGCCACGGTAAAACCAGACGGGCAGGTTTTTGGCTGTGTAGGAAAGTGTTTTTTTATATGGACGCTCTGCTGTGTCGTTACATTACATTTGATAACTTCAGTGTCTGTGGATGGTGCTATAAAAATGTTATCAGCAGCTTATGATTTGTTTAGGATATGTAACCGTGTGTGTGTATTAGTGTGTTGATGTGTGTATGTTGGGGTGAACTTTTTTTACTGGCAGCTTATTTTAGAACGGATGAAATTACATTTCTAAAGTAAACAGGTTTAAGGAATGTATTGATTTTTTAACGTGATGTACATACTCTCATACTTTTACTCTCGTTTACTATATATATATATATATATATATATATATATATATATATATATATATATATATATATATATATATATATATATTCGTTTAAACGAAGTAAAAGCTATTTTGTATTATTTTATACATTTGAAAATAAATAACTTACAAATGATTGGCCTGTATACAATGAAGCACATAGCCCTACATCAGCGTTGTGTAACTGTACAAGGGGACATCAAAAACCGGCTGTACGACTGTATATCTTTAGAGCAGGGACAAGATCTGATAGGGCAAGCGATGACACGGGGGATTAGCGTTGTTAGCAGGATAGGGATTTGTTAGGATAAGGATTTGCTGGATAGGGATTTGTTAGGATAGGGATTTGTTAGGATAGGGATTTGCTGAATAGGGATTTGTTTGGATAGGGTTTTGTTAGGATAGGGATTTAGTAGTTGGTGGAATGGGATTTGTTGGATAGGGATAGGGATTTGTTGGATAGGGATTTGTTAGGACAAGGATATGTTAGGATAGGGATTTAGTAGTTGGTGGAATGGGAGTTGTTGGATAGGGATTTGTAGGCAGGATATGATCTGTTGAGCAGGGACTTGTCAACAAGATATGGATTTGTTAGCAAGATAAAAAACCTGGTTTTCAGTCAACTAAGAATGTAATACACTTCTTAGTGAATGGATTATCTTCTAAAAAAACACTATAGTAACAAGAAAGAAACAAAGCAATATCCACAAAACAAGTCGCCTAAAGCAATAACAGGATATGTATCGTATTCTCTGATCTTCAGGTTACGCGGGGTGTACAACAGTTTGAATAATCACCCTTTGTACAACAGGTTGAATAATCTCCCTTTGGACAATAGTTTGAATAATCACCCTTTGGACAACTGCTTGAATAATCACACTTTGTACAACAGCTTGAATAATCTCCCCTTGTACAACAGCTTGAATAATCACACTTTGTACAACGGCTTGAATAAACACCCTTTGTACAACAGCTTGAATAATCTCCCTTTGGACAATAGTTTGAATAATCACCCTTTGTACAACAGCTTGAATAATCACACTTTGTACAACGGCTTGAATAAACACCCTTTGTACAACAGCTTGAATAATCTCCCTTTGGACAATAGTTTGAATAAACACCCTTTGTACAACAGCTTGAATAATCTCCGTTTGTACCACAGCTTGAATAATCACCCTTTGTACTACACCTTGAATAATCTCCCTTTGTACAACGGCTTGAATAATCTCCCTTGTGAAACCACGGACAACCAAGAAGATAAAAAAGTAAAGATTCCTCTTTAGACCTAACGATCCTTTGGGCAGATGAAGTGGAGTTTATGTTTCTTGACCTCGGCATTTAAAGGTATAGTGTAGTCATCACTATGCCCAGCCGCTTTTACTTTCATTAACGTGAGTACCATCAGAGTGGACTAAGTGACGTTCCACTAACTTGAACCCAGATTCGAACTCGAAACTATCGGGTTAGCAGTCTAGCGCTAGGCCACGCCGTCCCCTTAATCCTACCATAGCCCAGGAGATTGTCAAAAAAAGCCCGTGAAACTCGGGTTGTCGTGTTATTTTAACCTTTGCTAAATGTATAATGTATAATAACTGATTCAATGACAAAATTGGATGAGCAGTATTGATTGCTGTCAGTGTTTCTTCCAGACTTTTTTCTCCGGGAAGGGGGGCACTTGAAATTTTCGGGGGGGGGGGGGGGGGGAAGGGGCAGTAGGGTTTCTTCGGGGGGGGGGGGGGGTGGACATTGTTAAAAGTATATATTTTCTATATAAATTATATAAATTTCATTTCGTTCGGGGGAGGGGGGTAAAAAAATTTCGCCCCCCCCCCTCCAAGAGATGCCTGGAAGAAGCTCTGATTGCTGTCTTGTTAAATGAGCTACACACGTGTAAAAATTTGGATATAATTTGATAGCGTAGAAGTGAGGGAAATGTCAATGAAAACTCTCAGTACAGAAGAAAACAATTCGTACAA